CTTTCTGGAAGCTAATCAGAACCTTAAAAAAATAAGCCTAGACCCATTCCACCACAGGTTCCACTGAATCGTTTCGTCGTGATGCTGTCTTCAGCAAAGTTGATTCTTATAGTTTAAGCTACATATGCTGAAATTCTAAGCTTAATCGAGTTTGCTGAACCAGTTCTATTCACGAAAGAATGAAGGTATGTTATATATCCATACATTTCAACCAAAATTCCCATATATACTTTAAACCGAAAGCGCAGAAGCTGAAATTTTCAGTGGAGAGTGGTTTTCTCGCCTAATGGCACAAATTTAAGGAAGAATGTAACCTAGGTAGTTGGAAAACGGAAAGTTTATAGAAATAATTAATAATTAATTCAAATCGAAAGATGAAAAGCCCTTCAGGCAAAATCAATTGAAATGTAACATCAAATATAATGTATTAACAATACTTACGGCGACACGATTTTCGACCAACAAGCGTGCCTTTGCGTCGGAAAAGACAACTAATGTATTCTATAAACATTACGAGGGACGCTTGAAAGCTACAGCAGCGATTTAAATAAAAAACATTATTTTCGTCTTCCCATAAGTATCTACAGGCCTAAGCAATATGAACAACTTTTTCCCCGATTGTAATTAATGTAATTACATTATATTTTTCATGTGTTCTAACTTCAAATCACTCACCCCTCGACTGTAATCAAATACATGTTGGTTGACTTTTCTGACGTTACGTTCACGGTAAGAAAAAAGTACTCAAAATTGAGTTCCTTTCACTCAACACGTGGCTTCCGTGGAGCTAGTTAAAATTAAGTTAAAGAAGAAAACTCAATTTTGAGAAATCCTGATCAAGAATGCATTGAGTGAAAATTACCTACCGATCAATCGAATGGAATAGCTAAGTTTACTCAACATTGGAAGAAAATTTGTTTAAGTTTCCTTTCTTTAGAATAGAAATCAACAAATATATGGCAACCAAAGCTACCGGCGTCCAACTGGTTTTCGTTACAATTTTTCTCATGATTATGTGCCAAGCAATGTAGGCGGAAGCGGATTGGAAACGTAAAGTTTGACAGTTGTCACTAATGACATCAAGATGCTTAACCGAAGTCGATTTGGTTCTAACTAGTTTTCAATCAGGCCAGTAGGCTTACTCAGCTCAAACTTTTCCACTTCCGCTGTCATAGCGCTTGGGCCTTAACGAAGCCTAATGAAGCACGAACGGAGGCGATGGAGCTAAAAAAAAAATGACAGCATCGTCGGCAGCGCAGGTTGCTATGATTTTCATCCAAGAACAAGTTAAAATTAACCAACGGTGAAAACATGTCGGTTGAGTACTTTTAACTGATAAATGAGTTCTATATTACTTTGAATCTCAGATTGTTTTATTTAAATGAAATATATATAAACATATTTCGAGATATCCTTCGTTAGTTATTTGAGTAAACATTATTTACAAACCTGTAACTTTTGAACAAATGCGGAAAGTACTATATCCAAGGGGTCATCAACTCTGCACACTGTGCCGAAACATAGCATGGCACACTGTTCGGCACGTAAAGGAACACGTTGACAAGTATGTAACGAACAATATTATATCAAACGGCAACACTGTTGAGTGATGCAGTTTTTTCTAATCGATTTATCCGTTGCTAAGGTTTGTTTGCTTCGAGGGGGACGACTCTATCTACGATGCAGAAAATATTGTGTTTTGATGTGGCTAGCTGTGCGTACGCTGAGTAGATAGCAAGAAAATTTATCACGATTTTGAAGATGTCCTGCAAAAAAATTATGCGCGGTACAAGTAGATGCGAGAAATAAAAGAAGATTTTTCGAAGATTTATTCGCTAGTGTGAGATTTTTTGAGCATCTAGAATCGAGATTTTGATGTGTCGCCCCCTCGGTTTGCTTCCAAGTGAAAAAAATATATCCGTCAATACATGTCAATACTAGAGATGGAGAGTGAATAATCTACACCTAATTGTTTATAGGAATCGGATCATCGGCCTTTCGCTCTGTTATCAGTTATCAGGATTTAGAACAGGCCGGTGACAAGGCCTATGCTAACAGCTATGTTTGACAGTAGGCAACATGTCCGGGATCCAAATCGTTTGTTTTGTTATACTGGGCCCGCTGTCACCGTATACAATGTTGCCTACGAGCCTGCCACCGGGCTGATTTAGAATGAACCATCATTCAAGCAATTCTATGCAGTCAGATTAGGAATACCGAATCCGTAAATAATATTACCATTTGTATGCATATTTACATCCGCAACAACATTTGCATTGCAACATGCAAATGTTATGTGGATGTGACAAATATTGTAAAGAAAGATCCTTTACAAATGTCCAAATTCAACAAGGGTTGTGATCCGATGAACCATTGAAAATATCCGGATCATCTGTATGGATGAACCGGTTCTGAGCCGTTTAGCTAAGTGATCCGTTTTGCCCATTTCTATCTAGTCAATACTGGAGACACAGTGATTTAAATTAGAATCTAAAAAATGGATTGAGAGATGTACCAAGCTAGTTTCTAAAATGAAAGAACATGGCCAAAAGTGCTGCTAAATTAAAAAAATGAAATATAATATACAAACTATACTTTTAGGTGCATTTTTGTAAACAGTTGGAGCTTGAGTATGAAATTTATGCCTGCATTCCCTGAAACACCTAACGAGGAGAATCCTAGATAGAATTGGAATTAGGACGTAACAGCTTTTGTAAACAATGACATCTATCGATGATTTCTAGGAATTCAAGGCACGTTCACGCAGACCAACCTAGCCATCGGATAAGGGAAGTCTTTCCCTACCCGATGAGGATGTTGGTTTGCGTGGGCGAGCCTTGAATTTCTAGAAATCATCAAGAGAAGTCAGCAAATAAACTTAAATTTGAGTTCATCTATTATTACTCAATAGATGAGTAAATTTGAACCAACGCCACTTTTCTGATTCACTCAATGGCGGACGTCAAATTACAGAACACAACGTTAAGTTTTTTGAAGTAGGACAACGTAATTTCTATATGGGGGTACACTTTGTGAAAACCGAAAATGGAACATGTAACAAAATAATGAAAGATTTTGAACATTAATAACTCAGCTGCCCCTGGACCAATTTCAATAATTGTATCACCAATCGATCAGAAATATTTGTACACATCAAAAGCATTGCTTTCAACTGATGATTTTCAACAAGAAACTATTGAAAAAGTGGTAATGTCAAGCATTGTCCAATGTATATATAAAAAGTGACAATTTTATCACTGTTTTCTGGAATAAACGTACTTCCCAAACCCAGTCTTCATAATCGAGTACCACTTGGTTGCACATCATTTGGCTTTATCCTGAAACGATATTAAAGAGCGCTGCTGTCTAGCCTCAACTCATTTTCGCTTGGGACAGCGTGGTGAGCAGGCAGCAGAAGCACCAATAGCAGCAGTAGGAAGATGCTGGCACTCGTCTACCTAACAAGCAACAATGACTGGTCGTTGCAAAGGAGGAAAAGGTCTTGGCAACGAGGAAAAGGTCTTGGTTCCTCGTTGCAAAGGAGGAAAAGGTCTTGCTTGGCGCTAAGCGTCATCGCAAAGTTCTTCGTGATAACCGCCATCCGTCGTCTGAATCGCCCGCGCGGTGTCAAACGTATCTCCGGTCTAATCTACGAGGTGTGCTGAAGGTGTTCCTGGAAAATGAGATCCATGATGCTGGACTACACTGAACACGCCAAGCATAAGCGGCCATGGATGTCATCTACGCTTAGAAGCGACAGAGACGCACTCTGTACGGTTTCGGAGGTTAAATCAACACCAACGTTGGCAACAAAACGGCCCTTTTCAGGGTCAACAAGCTTATTACAATAAAGAGTTGTAATATATGTAATTTATCTGTGCCTGTTTGTCCATATTCAGAAACAACACGCCCACAACGACCACACAAAATGCTCTCCAGAGTTGTAATCTTGTAACCAAACTTGGAAGCAAGTGATTTTGATCGATTCTCTTCATCAACTTTCTCTTTGAAAAAAATACTACAAATTTGGTACGCCTACAATTCAAAAACGGAAAGAGTTAAGCTGGGTTTAGACAGGGCAAGTCAAATGATCAAGTCAGTTGAATTCAATTGACTTGAATGCGAATTGAACGTGTAAACCTTGCCATTCAACTGACTTGATCAACTCACTTGAATTGAAAAAAAAGTTGAACCAGGCCCAACTTTTCAAGCCAATTGAATTCAACTGAGTTGATCATTTGACTTGCCTAGTCTTAACCCAGCTTTAAGATAATAGCTTCCGTTCGTGCCCCTAGGCACAGACCCTTCTACTTTTTAAACTTAATTTTGAATATTTTTTCCTTACACGTGTCGAATAGGAAGGAATGGAACATCAAATAGTGAACTATATTGTTAATATAGTATATTTGGTAACACGTTCTTTATCGAAATAAAAATATTCTACTACGACTACACTGTATGTGAGAAAAGCTGATAGTACACGGAAACAAATCCGTGGCCATTTTCATGAATAAAAAAACATGAAACAAGAAAAAAAAATCATCCCATGAAATCATGACAATAATTCATGATTTCATTATGGATACGACGAATATCATGAACAATAACAAGCGCTTCCATGAACCAAATTCATGGCCGTTAGCTAGTGTTACGCGTAGGTACGTGCCTGTCAAGCCGTCTTCATAAAATTTCAACGTCCATTGCGGTCGGAGGTAAAATAGTGGCAGCTCCAGTGCCTTGCGAAATCCGATCACGGATGTTTTGTTAAAGCCATCGCCAATGTACAGCCTCGTATACAGTTGCAATGTACCTTGTCCTAGCTCTCCGCTTGCTGGATCCACGCCAGCGAGGGATGACCGGAGAGGAAACGTGCTGGATCGGATTGGTTCCCCTGAAGCGGTGGAAGATGTTACGCTGCTGGTTTTGACGCATGTGCCATTTGCTGGAAACCTGAAAAAGGAGAGCTCCTTGTAGTGTTATATGCAGTCGTCTAAACACACCTAATTGTTGGTCTTATCCCAGATCACAACCAGGATTTGGAAATGCTGATACTTTTCCGCCAACTTCTTTGTCAGCTCGAACTCTTCGGCATCCACTGAAAAGATAAGGCATTTAGAATAAATTGTTTGAAAAAACGTGTTAAACCCAGAAAGAAGAATCAATCGCACCTTTGCGACTCGTACTGCTGCATCAGAACATAGATGGACGGCCTATCAAACTGTGTCTCCGTAGCTGGAGCTTATCCCACAAACTGGAAGCATGAAGGAATTCCAAGAGTGCAAGTGCGATGTTCTTTTCACGAAGCTGCGGCACAATTTACAGGTGGATGATTTGAGGGCGTGCTTTTGTGTCACATCTCAGCGCGGATCCGCTACAGGCATGTCCTGGGATATTTTCAATACGATTTGATCTACTTCACTTGTTTCACCAACGCTCTGTAGAATTTCATTAATGCGAACTTCTATGCCGTCGAAGATTGGGGACTACACACTTAGAATATTTTACAGATTTCGGTGAAATTTTACCGAAATCTCAACAGCTGAACGTTCGGTAAACAGTTCGGTGATTATTCAAATCACCGAACAATCTGTAAAGTTGCAAAAATGTTATCTGTCAAAATTGCCGAAAAGTTCTGTGATTTTTCACAGTTGCCCTGTTATTTTTCACAGATATACTGTGATTTTTTTTTGTTAAAATAAAATGAATTTACCGAATGATTCGGTATTTTTTCACAATAATTCTGTGAACTTACAACTCATTTCTGTTGGTTGTTTTTGGTTCTAACGAAATAAATACTGAAAATCAAAATATTCTGACTGTTATGCAGAAGTAAGAAGTGTACGATAAACACACGTTTATTTCCAGAACACAGTCTTAACATTGAGATCCTCAATACTTTTCTATATTCTGATAAAATAATCAAAAACTTTTTTGACGATTTATTTTATTGTAATGAAAAATTTGTGATCAAAAATCACATGTAAAACCTTGTACTCTTTTACAGCTTCGTTTAAGAAATAAACTTTGTTCAAAAGCGATTCGTTCATGAAACTACATTCATTGTTTTCATTAGTTTCGCGGAGTATTATTAATTGTGATTACCAGAGGAAACTCCGCTGATTTATTAAACAAGCATGGTTCACGATTATTCATAATCACTTTTGGTTCCACCGTATTCCAGTTTTCCATAAACGGTTTCGCTGTCGGTTTGAGTTTTTGGAAATCAATACGGATCTGCAAAGTTGTAATATTTGTCTAAACGGAACAATATTTAAAAAAAACACTTGATCATTTACCAAATCTCCATCGTAGGTTATAACAAGACAATCTTTTGCAAACGAAAAAAAGTTTTCCTCGAACCGGTATTTCTGTCGTCTCTCAAACGTTTTGTTCCATAGATCGATCACATGGGATTTTGTCTGCTGGTTTGGTACAATGAATCGTAGCTCACCTTCCTAATTAAAAAAGTAGTTTCATAAATTTAATCTTGCAATTATATTACAGATACTTACGGCTTCAACCAAATTGATTTCGGTCTCCAGATTGCTTTCATGAACTACTTCTTGAGATTTTACTATGCGAGGATGACGCTTTGATGCTCGGTCAACGGATGTCCTAGCAAGGTACTCCATCCTGTAATGGATCCGGCCTGCGTGACGATTTGTACCTCGGGCATGGGGATGGAACCATAAAGCCTAGGAAAGGAATTTAAAAGCAATTGTTAAACGGCATTACTTAAATCACCACTTAGATGCTTATTCACCTGCGGAGTGTCAGAGGAGTTAGCTGCCAGTGTAGGATAAGACCGTACCAGGGACACAGCTATTTGATTTTTATAAAAATTGCTTGGACGGCTGCAACGAAAATAATTCTCAATTGATAATTGTTGATTTTTTTTAAATAAAAGCAGCATGCACAACTTGCTATTTGAATGAAGATAATTTATAATAAGTTACGGTTTGATGGAGAAAACAACAAGCTAAAAGATAACACTAAATATACGGCTAGCACCAATCTCAGTGGTAGTACTTCGTGCTAATAGCATAGTTCCTCTTGCCGTAGAATGCTGTCACATATGATGTGTTGGTTATCGAAAGTCAGTTGATTTTGCGATTTGGTGTTATCGTTGGCTTGTTGCTTTCGCAACATAACCAATATAAAGATGAGCAATCAAAATTTTACTTACCAACCGTATAGTGCTTTCAAACAGTCACAAAGTATGTTACAGATCTGCTTAATCATCGTCTCCTTAGGCTTGGTCTGTTCTTTAAGGACCTCCATGATTGCAAGACCATTTTCTGTCATCTGGAGAACGCAGTCGATATCAATTATCTGAAATGGTATCGTTAGTTAGTACAGAATGCATATTTTAATACAACTTATCCAAAACCTTACCTCATCAAGGCATATTCCTTGATATGGATTATCAGAGTCAGTAGGAGCAGATGGAGCTTGGAAACTGGCATCTTGTGTAGCGTGATCCTTATTTTGAAATAATTCTTCGTCAATATACTCTACTGCAACTTCTCGGTATTCGTGTTGTAATCGCTGAATCAGCTTAATCATCTTTGTTGTAAGGTTTAATCTAATGAAATCTTTATTATCTAACTGTAGGAATGTTTCTAGATCGTCGATTTCTTCTCGCTCAAAATAAAAATAGACGTCAGTGAATAAGCAATACAATCTCTAGAGCGGTGATGAACAAAAATTATACTTTTAATAATCACGGTTGTAAAATCGTCTAGAAATATATTTTTTGTTGCAGCTGTACGGCGACCAAAAGGAATACACAGTATGAGTAAAGCATAGTTGTGAGTAAAGTAATTGCTGGCCATCCAATACTTGCACCTCATACGCCTCGAAAAAAACTGCTATAGCATACAGTTTCCACCAACCGCAACAAAAAGTACATTTTTCCATCAATAACAGCAATTTCTCTAATAATTCCATAAGCAGGGAATAAATTATCTGCGTGCTGATTTATGCCGATCACAGCATTTACTCTGAACTCAACCCCATTAAATATTGCAGTTTTTGGTATGAACACGTGTTGTACTGTTGGATCCAGAAGTAGTGAACTTAGACATTCATTACGACCAACGAGTTTTCCTGATGTGAAATTCAACTTGTCACAGAATGGGTTGTCCAATATATTCAAGGTCATTTTAACACATTGCCTTTTGGCCAAACTATGACAAATATTTTTGAAATTTTTACATGTAGAAGCTTGGTTTTTGGCGATTTTGTTGGTTTGTTCAAACTGCAGACAGTTATATTGCTTCATGGATCCACTTTTTTGAATGCAAAGGGCGTAATGTTTGAGGTGATGTAACTTATTTATGCGACGGTCGAAAGTTGAGTAGAATGTTTGTTCGAAATAATGCAGGTCCTCTTCTAATTGGTAAATTAGATGTTGGGAAACGACTGGAGATATTATAATTTTTACGATGTTGATAAGATGACCGATCATAACCATCAACTCGCAATCCGGTGGTACCTTGTGCCCAAACAGAAATGGGAAAGATCGCAGTAACAAAAATATTTGTGTTAATGTTTGCTTCAGTTTGTGCATGTTCGGATGTACTAGCATTTCATGTGTGAAATTTGCTGAAGGCTTGTTGTGGCGATCAGTATAGCCATAGGTAAAGGTGTTTATGCGATTGTTGATAAATGGTACATCAATTTTCAAATGTTTCTGCTTGTAATAGTGTGACAATACTAGTTGTATTTATTAACGGAACAACCCCTTCTGCAAAATCGTGCATTCCATCGAGATTAAAGTTGTCCGATATATGATAGTTCTGTAGTTCATTTAGGATACACCCTGATGCTTTCAATCCGCAATCCTTCGGAGCAATCCATCCTTTTTGAACAGCATCAAGTTTTTCGTCGTACCATTCTCTAGTTCGCAGAGCAAATTCGCCAGATGGGTTGTTATGGAACTTATCTCTGGAAATCTGACAAATTCTACAGAAGTAGTTGGCACTTGGTCCTAGGAGTCCAAATACGTCATGTGCTGCAAGAGTGTCTCCACAAAACATTGTAACTACAGATTTTAATACAAATTTTTCGTTACCATAGTAGACCGTAACACCCTCTTCCAGTTTTCTCAGATCAGCAATCAACGGTTGTAGTATTTTCTGAAATCCTTGTTTTTTAACGTCAATCGAATTACAAAAAAGCAACGGGAATACTGTTTTCGGAGAGCTGTTCCACTTTTCAGGAAAATTCTGAATTTTAAAATTGAAATTGAATACTTTATTTATGCCAGCTCGTGAACTAAAGGCATTACCTAATTTAACGTCATCCTGGTACAAACTAATGCGAATACAGTTGGGATTTTCCCGGAAGTACTCACTGTTTTTAAACAATTCGCCTGATTTAAATGAACTATACTCTTTGACGCATGGAGTGTCAGCTGCATCTGATTCTATTAAAAGTTTCCTATTGGAGAGATCTCGAAACAAAAACTTCAGCGTATCTATAATGCTTATGTAGAAGCCAGTTTCATTCACCAAAACTTTTTTGGGAAGTGAGTCAACGTGTCGAACATCTTGTCGGCGACTTAACAAAATATCACGAGGAATCGGAGCTGATACGCTATTTTTTTCCAAAAACTTGGTTTGTTTTTGAAACGTGTTAACCTCGGAAAACAGATCAAGCTGAAATTTGTTTCTCAAATCGATGAGATCATTGTCGGGAACATGCACATTATGTGCATTCAAAAAGGCAAGCACTTGTGCCTCCAAGTACTCAGTTACATGTTGAACAGTTGTGTCGCATAATTTTATTACTTCTGCAATTTTGTTTGAGGCAAACTAACGTCGCTTAACAATCGACAAACACTCAAACCAATTATCTTCCGGATTCCCCCCAAATTTTTGTTTGATGTCGGATGGGAAGGAATAGCATATTGCTCCTGTTCAGTCGACTCCTCGAAAGTGTGATCCGGTTCATGGTTCTGCTCTAAATCGGTAGGTTCCCATGTAGTTGTAGCACTTTGCACTGGATGCTTTTCTATAATGTGCCTTTTGAGTGTGTAAAATTTAATAAATCGCGCATTACATTTCGAAAAAGTGCAATCGAAGAAAGTGTCTCCGAGGCGGAAGTGATTTTTCTTCAAATGATCGTTTATGTGACGATGAAAACCCGTCACATAACCGGGAACTTTGATCCGGCAGAAAAAACAGATTATCGGCAACTAAAACAAAACATAGAGTTTATAATACATATTTATCATACTTACGGAAAATACCGACGAGTTTCTCGTTGTTCTCCTGGAGTGCTTCCAAAATGTCATCCATATTATTCACTTTAAACGGACCACTTCACAAATTGTGTTCACGAGCTGGCGCTCGCAATTGTCAATATGGCTGACAGCTGTATTTACAGAAGTTCGGTGAAAAACACAGTATTCGGTAAAAAATAGCTACGCCACCGAACTATCTGTAATTATTTTACTGATTTTTGTAAACTTGTTTGGTTTCACCGATCTTTCTGTGGATTTATGTCGAATTAGTGGAAAAAATATTGATTTTACAAAAAAATCTGTAAAGTTTTCGTTTACAGATCAATTTCGGTAATTTTTTTCACAAAATTCGGCGATCTATTCTTAGTGTGTATGGTTTCACTTGCCGGAATATAATCGTTTGCCAGCCGCCTCGCAACTGAATCTGTAGCTGCACCAAATTACAGGTAATGGACGAGCCGTTGTGCGCTATCGATGAACAGTGGCGAACAGGGCTGTTTTGCATCAACGTAGAGAGAGCAAAGTCAGTGATGAAAAATATTGTATTATTATCTTCGTCGCACTCCAAGCAGCGCATGACAAATTCTGTATGAAGGCAGTCCTCTTTCATTAACGTCGTGAAAAAAAAACTAGCTCAGTACGTTCTCTCTCTCTTAGATCGGTCGGTTACTCGGAGAGGATTAAAAACTGCACGTTTTAGTCAGCTGTTCCGTATTGTTTGACAAAAAATGATGATCGTTGGAAGCAACACAAAAAACTTAAAATGGATGCAAAACGGATCCGAACCACCAATGTTGAGATTAACAGACTTGTGTATTCACCACTGATCTATCCACGCTTAGGATAACTGATAGGCTAAAGAAAAAGAAGAAGCGCTCATAGTGTGGTTACTAGTCTGCTCACATGCATGTTCGACGGTATTTGCTTTTTTTTGTCCATGCATGATACAGAAAAGAGAAGTGAAGGTAAAAGATGCGATAGGATTTGTTCAAAGGGATTACTGTCGGCTTCTCTTCGTCAATGACGAAGGATGTATGGAAATGATGGTTTTTGTACCGCGACAATTTATTTTTGGTTTTCGTCAAACGTCACTGACCAAACTGACCGTTACCAACTCTGGTGGCGTACATCTCCGGGTGGGGACACCGCCAGGCAGGAATCCATATGATCACCTTTGGCAATCGGCAACAAACACCGTGTAAAGACATCGTCGAGAAAGATAATGCAAATAATAATTACACCGGGAAAGCAGAAAACTGCAGAAACAAAACAAACTTGTCGTTACACAGATAAATTAAACTATTATAATTTTGCTTAAATTTAATCAATTTGACATTATACTCAGTTTATTTGAAGAATTAAAGTGACGATTGACTCACAGATGACGAGTGGGTGAAAATCTCGGTGAAAAGGTAATGACGTTATAGATACTACCATAATCACCATAATTCAAGTTTTCAAATCCATGAATATAGTTCACGGTTTCGATACTGATGATTCATGATTTCGGGAATCTAGTTAAAAAACAACTCGTACCATTCATGAATAAATTTTTCGAAACCATGAATATAGTTCATGGTTTCGACTCGTATGATAAATGATATCATGAATCTAGCTACGACTTCTCGTCAACCAAAAAAAAAATCGTAACGCATAGATTGCGTTACGAAAAAATAGATCATAAAATCATGAATTTTATTCATGGTGTATTTTCATAACATGAAAACACACAATTTACTTGAAATCATGAGTCATTTTTCTCATTTATAAGATTGGATTTGTTCCCGTGTACTGATAGATGTGTTTATCGGTGCTTTATTCAAAAAAAAACAAACATTCTACAATTTGAAGTGAGAAAAAAAATACTCGACAGAAGTGTCCAGGGGAAGAGGATGTCTCCTGTCAAGAGGAACCGTTCGAACTAATTAAAATTATACATTGATCTAAAGGGAGAATTCGGAAAACTCCTACATCAAATCAGCAATGATAAAATTAAATGTAAAATACACAGCGCCAGTTCCAACCCACTTTTTCCATCGTCG